AGACAGGGGGGGGGTATAGAAGGAGTATGAACAGTGGACACATCACCGGGAACTTTGCTGCTCCCCCTCTCCAATTCCCCCTTTTTTTTTTTTTTTCTCTCCTCTACGCCTGGGAAAACAGAGCTGGCCCCCTGCACTGAAGCGCATGGTATCACTGCGGGACGGGACTTTTAGATATGTTCACTGAGCAAATGAGTACCTACCACTTTTTGGAGATGTACCCTTAGAACCCTCTCATCTCAATAAGTACCTCTTATTCTTACTATACTTGATGCATTTAACTGTGATGTTGCACCACCCGCAGTGAGGTAGACTCGACTACATCTGGTAACAGAATAGGGGCGCTAGACTTGCTTAGACTTGCCATAGACTGACGACAGAGGGGGAGAGCTGAGGAAGGGTAGGACAGGCAGCGGAACCAATGTATATATTTATGCTCTGAAGGGTCGAGAGGAGGGGGGACACCTGAGAGCTTATATTTTGGAAGGGGAAAGGGGAGAGGGGGTGAGAGACGAGAGCTGCGGGCCCAGGGGAAGGGGGAGAAAAGGAGAGGTAGGACAGAAGAGGAAGAGAAGAGAGGAGGAGGGCTGGTAACACGAGGGGGGTGGGGAGGGAAGGGGGAGGACGGGGGGGGTATGGGGAGGGGCCAGATCTATGACAAAGGGACGAGAGCGAAGGTAAAGAGAAAAGAAGGGGAGGGAAGGGAGAAAAGGTGGAAAAAAGGAAAAAACGTAATTAAATATTATCTCTAAAACTGTCAGCTATGTTACATATTACTTAGGGATAAGTGAGATATATGAGAAAGTACACTACTATGGCCCCTGGGACGCCCTGACATTCCCCCGATCACAGTCTATGAGGAGACGTACGGCCCTACCTCACACCCAGAACCTACCCTACTGAGAAACAGAGTGACGGAGTTGGAGCTGTCACTTCCCATGGGATAAACCCGGCCCGACTGCTTTTGATATGATGTGTCAGAGGGGAACTTGAGACCAAGTAGAAAGATGGGGGGAGGTTATGGAAACTGCCTAGGACCAAACAAGGGAACCTGGCCTAAGAATACACTAGCAGCGACAGCGGGCAACAAGGGGTGATGAATGTTTCTGCATACTTATTGTTATTGATGTTATTTTTGTGTATACCTTAATCAATTATATCTGTTGTCGTATAGCCTACCTTCTGATATACCTAAATTTCCCATGTCCATACACACCTGGGCTAGGGCCCGGATGGAGCGGGATAGATCTACATTCTACACACATACGCTTCACCATACCTGGTTTAGACACCGACCACTGCTCTACGCACTCACCTGTGCAAGTCTCTCGGCGGAGCCACAGGTACGCCCACTCACCGATCTGGTTATCGGGGGGACACCTGGCCACTCCTGCTGAGGCACAGGTGCTCCTCCTTCTCGAAGGAGGCTCCGGGGTAATACCACCGTTTACCCCACGGGGACATTACCCGATAGGGGGGCTCTCTTTGCCCACCCTTATTTTAATTTGTCAACCTACACTACCCCGCACTCATACTCTACACCCACATACTCTCTTACACGTACACACATACCTTTGCACATACCCCACCCACCGCAATCACCACACGCGTTTGGGCTCCACACTGGAACAAAGGGACAACACGCCTGACAGCGGACAACGACAAACAGGCTTCCCTGACGCTCCCTCCACCCTTCATAGACCCACATTAGACACACGAACACCCGTACACTATCCTAGCTCATCATCATTCGTGGGGCTGCGCCGTCGGCCCGGACCCTTGCGCCACTCGGGCGGACCTCCTGCAGACGAGCGTGCATCGATCCGGACAGAGCCATGGCATACCATCGCACCCCCATGTCCGTCATGACACTCAATTGCAGGGGACTAAATATCCCGGAACGCCGCTCTCACCTACTGAGGGTTCTGAAACAGAAGCATATATCGATCGCGATGCTACAAGAAACTCATTTCAAAGAAGGCGCAGCTCCCAAACTCCGTAACACATACTACCCTATAAGTTACTGCAACAACCACCCACTGGCTCGTCGGGCAGGAGTCGCAATACTGATATCGGCGAACTTAGGTTTTCAGGAACTGGACCGGATGGTTGACGAACATGGACGCTTCCTATTTCTCAAAGGGGTGATAGCTGACAGAGTATACACCCTAGCTTCTATTTATGTACCCAATTCAAAACAAGCACAATTTCTGCGGACAAGGATTCTCGGAGGGGGCCCTCATAGTCGGGGGAGATTTTAACGCCCCCTTGGACCCGCTCCTGGACTCATCCACTGGCCATAGCAGCCTCTCACAAAAACACATTAGATCCATACGCAGATCATTAGGGGAGCTGTCGCTGGTCGATTGCTGGAGGACGTTACACCCCACCAGCAGAGACTACACGCACTATTTGGTGATACATGATCGCTACTGCCGGATTGACTATGTATTGATTAAGCAAGACGGACTATCTCGACTGAGAAAGGCATCCATAGAACCTGCAACATGGTCAGACCATGGATCAGTCCAAATAGAGCTGGAGTCCCCGTTATTTAAACCGACAACCTGGACCTGGCGCCTGAACGGAATCCCTGCTCCAGGACTTCGCGGTGAGGACCGAGGTTTCCCAAGCACTGGAGCACTACTTTCAGGAAAACGGAACGGACGAGATGTCCCCTATATCCGTGTGGGAAGCACACAAGAGTGTCATACGCGGCACTCTTATTAGCATTGCGACCCGCAAACGGAAGGAAGCAACCCGCGCGATAGCAGAATTGTACGGCACCATTTCGCGCCTCGAGCTTCAACACAAACGCTCACAACTAGTTGAAACATACCGCGAATTAATGGAAGCCAGACGTAACCTGACAGCCCTTCTTACAAAACGATACCTACGATCGCTTCAAAGGTCGAAAAACTTATTTTATACACACGCGAATAAAGGGGGGAAATTCCTCGCGCGCCTACTCCGAGGAGATATGACACGCACGCAGGTACGAAAAATCCGTCTGTCATCAGGCAGCATATCCCAGCACCCGGAGGGCATAGCAGGGGAATTTCGAGAATACTATAATTCGCTATATAACCTCCGCCATTCGGAGGAGCCGACCCATAGGCGGGACTTGTCGCCACATATACGAACATACTTACAAGACACCATACGGACACAAATAAGCCCAGAAATGGCGTCCACACTGGATGAACCGGTTGCCACCGATGATCTGGCGGCAGCACTTAAATGTGCGAAAACGGGGAAAGCCCCGGGCCCGGATGGACTTCCCACGAGCTATTACAAGCACTTCGCCCAGATCCTACTGCCGTGGTTGACAAAGGCAGTCAACAAAGTAACGGAGGGGGGACAATTTGGAGTGGAATCCCTTACGGCGACGATAACCGTCATACTTAAACCCGGAAAAGACCCGGAACAGTGCGGCAGCTATCGTCCAATCTCCCTGCTGAATGTGGACACGAAACTCTTGACAAAAGTCTTGGCGACCAGATTTCAACGGATACTGCCGAATTTAGTCCATGTGGACCAGATAGGATTTATCCCGGGCCGAGAAGCTCGTGACAGTACGCTACGCCTTTTCTCTGTACAACATCACGCAAGGAAACATCGGAAGCCTCTCCTGCTGTTATCCACAGATGCGGAGAAGGCTTTCGACCGGGTAGACTGGTCGTACATGACCCGAACACTTCAGTACATGGGCTTAGGGCAGAGGATTATGGCGTGGATATCTGCCATATACAGCTCGCCGAGAGCGTCGGTTCGTGTTAACGGAGCTCTGACACCGAGCTTCGGAATTGCAAACGGCACCAGGCAGGGATGCCCCCTATCGCCGCTCCTATTCGCTCTCTCCCTGGAGCCACTGCTACAGGCAGTCCGAGATCACCCAGACATCCATGGCTATTCCTGGCAAGGCACGGAACATAAGGTGGCGGCTTATGCAGATGACCTCCTGTTCTTTATTTCCCAACCACGGATCACATTACCGTGTATACTCTCAGAAATCGATAAATTTGGCAAGATATCCGGGTTTAAGCTAAACTTGGCGAAATGTGAGGCACTAAACATCACCGTACCTGCGGCAGAATACCAATCCCTAGGCACGCTCTTCCCATTTCGTTGGTGTGCAGGGGCAATGAAATACCTAGGTGTCTGGATTCCTACGGATCCGAAGGATCTATACCGACTGAATTTCGCACCGCTCCTGCAGTCAATCGAATCGGACCTGAAAAAATGGGCTTACCCGCACATAACGTGGCATGGCCGCATAGCGGTCCTTAAAATGAACATTCTCCCGAGGATCCTATACTTATTTCAGACCATCCCAGCAGCCCTACCGTCGACATTCTTTTCGACACTCCAGTCGGCTGTTATCCACTACACGTGGAGAGGCGAAAGATCTAGATTACGCCACGACTTATTGTGTGTGCCCAGGCACAGAGGGGGTCTAGCGCTGCCAGACTTCAAAAAGTACCACCAAGCGGCGACCCTACAACGGATCCTGGAGTGGCATGAAACGGAC